ATTAGCCATCAGTATTTTTTTAAAAGATGATAGGTACAAAATTATTTTGCAGATAAAGGCACTGCATAGATTTGAGGTTTTGACATTTTCAAACAAACTCGTCCTCCAGCTTTTAAGGCAAGCGAAGTCATTTTATTTCTTACAGACGGATCTTTTTTTATGGCCGTATCTTAGAAGTGCTCAGACCAGCTGAATGCCTAACCTGGCATTTCTAACTGTGCTGAGAATCAACAACAGACTAGTCTGAAATTTGGTATCACCAACTAAGGACACAACGAAGCCAGTGGGAAAGGCTGCAGTAATGGTTCTCGACCCGTTCAGAGAAAATAGTTCAGTGAGTGAGAACATTCTTCAGCTTTTAAAAATGTGCTTGTACATTTGTTTGTGAACATTGCGCCACCCTTCTTTCCCCTGGTGGTTACCACAGTAACTCCCTTGATGTTTATGGCATGGTGGATGACAGGGCTGTTCCCTCCACTCGAGGAGTGTGCAGGACTGTGCTCCCTGGCACCCCAGCGGACAGGGTTGCTGGCTCCCAGGCAATGAGGCGTACGTAGGGTTTGAGCCACACACCTTTCTTTGTGGTTCATCCTGACTGCACGTCAGGCACTGAAAGCTTCTCGAGTGTTACTCCACTGTCCCATTTGCCAGTTTGGCAGCAGGATTTCATTCTAATAAGAGAAGTTTCTCAGATGGAGATTCCAGATGTGTCTAAGCTGCTTTTATTAGGACAATGGAAAGGTCCAACCTTTTCTTCTAAATACAATCAAGAGTAGTGTGGCTTTGCCTTTGTAATTTTACAAAGAGTTGTATTACGTAACTGGAAAATTATCTCCCCGGGCACAGAGAGAATTTGTTAGCCCAGAATGCAGCTTGGAATAATGCTGACGTAAAGCTTCAATTCAAGAAAGAAACCTTTTAAGTTGCTGAAATGTAGTAGAGAGGAAGAAGGAAATTGCTGTTTTACATGATTGACCAAAATGCACTGTAATTATATCAACTTGAAACAGATTCCTTAGAAGAACTGATAACTCTGTGATCCGAACAAGTCATGTGTAGTAGAACTAAATACTGCATGTACTTTCTCTGCAAAGTGTAGACATGCCGCATTTGAGATGGGCAGTAGAAGAGACAGCTGTACTTGCCTTAACCTGCTTAATGGGACCTCCAGCTGGTTTAGCCTAGTGAAGAATGGCGGGTGGCTTTACTGAGGAATTAGTATTTACCCTGCCTGCCTATCCTTTTGCACTGCTTTACCACACAGCTTGCGGACTCTCCTCATATAATGTTATTTTGATGTCGCCACTCCTGTTTGTAATTAACACAGCGTCACTCATCAATCAGTTTCTAAGTGGAACATTCCTTTTGGATTCCACTCACTGTTCTTGTTGCCTGTTCTAAAGTGGGTGGGTAAAATTTAATCCCAGATACTTAGCCCAAAGATAGCCTTCCCGTTTTCCTTCTTTGCTCCAGTGTCTCGACGTAGTGCTATTTCCTGTCAGCTACAGTCCACCCATAGATAGGAGATCATCTCCAAGTAGAGTAGTAATGGTATTTACTCAGTGCCCGGAAAACTCCTTGGCTGACACTGGATACTCTGAAACACTATTATTACTTGCATATGGTAATCATCTATTTGCATAGCTCCTTCATCTAACTAGAAGCTTCTAAAGAGCAGGATTGTGTCTTATTTCTTTGTAATGCCCCAAATAGTGGATACCTACTACATACTAAGTGTTCAAGAACTCTTATTAACTGAATGAATGGCAGATTAGAACTAGTATCTGTCAGATTCTACACAAAGAAATTGCAGCTAACAAGTAAAGTGCCTAGACTTCCAATAGCAAGGTTAGATGACTAGTTATGAAAGAACTGTAGTCTGTATTCATCTTGGTGTAAGCTGACGGAAGACCTTCCTCAGTGTTACCCAAGCACACAGACGTCATAGACAAAGCCGATGTCTCTAACCTCAGCAGTGAAAGCGGGGCTAAGGTCATTTTTCTAGGCATTGCGATGCACTTGCTTTGGCCCCTCTACTGACCCATCTATAGTCCTTCTAGGACCAGGGTCACATAACTGGGAGATGGCCTCACTGAAATACTCAGATGAGGAGCAGGAAGAGGTCAAATGGTCTCTACTGGGCTTTTTGACTTTATCTCATAAATTTCCTCCCCCAATCTACTCAAGTCTCCACCTGAGCAACTGAATTCCACAGCAGAGTCCTATAACACCTGTCCTGAAGGAAACGTGGGAGGTTGCCATGGTGGGGGATCTCTTTTTTCCCTTCTCTTGAAAGGACAACTTTTCCTCACTGGCCTTTGTTTCTCTCATTTCCCCACCCGGAATGCCTTTTCCTGCTTACTCTTTTTGCCTCTGAATCCTGTAAGACCAGCTCAAATCCCTTCTCCTTCCTGAAGTCCTTTCTGACCCTCTGCAGAAAGCAGTAATTGCTCCCTCTGATGAACACCTGGGCTATTTGGGGCTGGTGCTACTTGACATTGTGGATATTTTTCTTTATATTGTAAATTATTTTTCTCATTTATTTATTTATTGTGACTCTTGACAGTGAAGATGATGCTCTGAGTTTTTTAAAACCTGTAGATCTTATTTCATATGATGGTTATTTTAAAAATACTTGGTAATTTGGGAAAAAAGCATCTAGAAAGGAATTTGATGGAGGTAAGTGAACTTAATGAAAATTATTACAGATATTATGAGAAAAATCTACAAGCTATTACAGTTTTATAATATATAAAACTATTTTAAATTATTTTCCTAAAAGAACAGTTAGAGAATAATGTTAGACTTCCCGACTAAGACCTAAGAAAATGTTTCATACTTAGCAATGAATATAGGTTACAAATAGGCAATTGCAGAGATGGAGATTCTTTTTCACACGAGAATCAATGTCATATTTTGGAAATCACTCCCTATGTTATTTGTAGTATAAACAAATTTTATGCAAAGTTATTTGTTGTGTAGGTGTACATATAGTTTTCTCATTGTACAGTTTTGGGTTTAGTGTTAATTCATTTGTATCCAAAGTACCAAGTTATCTCATCTATATGCAGTAGTCCAGAAATACCAAACATGGTCCATCTACCTGACCATCAAATCATGTTCTTGGTTCTAGACAGAACTGCTTACTGAGCCTTCTGGGCCAGTGGTTATGCATCCACCAAATGTACCTCTAGGTCCGGAACAGTTTAAATGAGTTAGCTGTATTGGTCCATGATCTTCTGATGAGTTCAATACAGTTTAAATCTTAGAGATATAGTTCTTATCTAAAAACTAACCTTCTAAAAATGAGCATGCTAATAGAGGTTTAAGTTTGACAAACAAAACCGTTATGAAGATGAATATTTAGGACATTTTAAATTTTGGCAATAGTAGAATATTGCTTGCTGGGTTGAAGAGGATCAAGAGGGTGTCATGTTGAATGTATCATAAAACATACACACAAACACATACACGCATTTATTTAAAGAGAAAAAGGATTACCCAAGCAGCTCACCCCTTTCTTTACAGTCCTGTTGCCTCCATTGATATTTTGGCATTATCCTCACCAGGATTATTATATGGGCTTCGTGGTTGTTTCGCCCTCCATATTCCCATTCCAATCCACCCAATCAGGCAGTAAATATTTTTGTAGGTATTTGTATGTGTTCTGCTGGAAGAACTCTGCTGGAATACTCAACTTCCTCATCTCAGAATGGCTGCCCTCCTGCACAATTATGTTCAGCAACTCTCTACAAAATCAAATATAATCCAGCCTCACTTTCCAGTTTTATAATATACTCATTCCTTTCATATCCCCAACTGCTTCAATCAAAGCAAAATAGTCACCCTTTTCTGTGATGTGTCAGTTTTCAGCATAATTCCCTGGGGCCTAGAACCATAAAATACATCGTTCTTAGAGGTAGAGTGTTCATATTATAAATCCAAAATCTGAGAAAAGCATCTTTTTTTTTTTAAAGATAGACCCTTAACTTTTATTTTTTTTTATTATTTTTTTTATTCTTATGTTAATCCCCATACATTACATCATTAGTTCTAGATGAAGTGTTCCATGATTCATTGTTTGTGTATAACACCCAGTGCTCCATGCAGAATGTGCCCTCCTCAATACCCACCACCAGGCTAACCCATCCTCCCACCCCCCTCCCCTCTAGAACCCTGTTTGTTTTTCAGAGTCCATCGTCTCTCATGGTTCGTCTACCCCTCCGATTTCCCCCGCTTCATTCTTCCCCTCCCGCTACCTTCTTCTTCTTCTTTTTTTTTTCTTAACATATATTGCACCATTTGTTTCAGAGGTACAGATCTGAGATTCAACAGTCTAAATGCAATACATTTTTACTGAGCACCAACCATACCGGACACAGTGCTTCTGTGAAAATTCAGGAAGCCTGAACATAATGACAAGCTCTGCTCCATCATGAAGTAGAAGTAGGGATTGTGAACTGTATCACAATACAACTGCAACTCTTCTTTTCAGCGCAGGCTCCTGTCTACCAGAATGAATTCCAAATTCACAATCAGGATCAAAGTTAGGCCATATTAGCTGCTCTGTATTTTTAACCTTTGTATTAAATTACCATCAAGGGGGCACTAATTAAGATAAGAAATAGAGCTACTTATTTGTTTCATATGCACCTTCAGATTTCTGAATTATACATTAAAACAATCTATGACATCTGTGTATGCTTTTCATAAAAGAAAAAGGCATAAATGCCTCAGGGTGCATCTGCCTGGCTAAGAAACAGATGAAAAAAACTCTCTCTATAGTTTCTATTAAAGTACAGAGAAATATAATTTTAAAAGCTACAAAAATAAGGTAAAGATTATATAAGGCAAATATAGCAATAAAATCTATAGCAAAACCCAGAATATTTTAGATTAACCTGAAAAGGCTAAGTTTCCTAAGACTTTGAAAAATGAGGAAAGCCATTTGGCAAAATCCTTAACTTGGAATTTTTTTTGTTTGATTTTTTTTCTCCTAGGTTCCAGATTCAGAGATGTGCAACTGATCCAAACAGTTACAAAAGCTTGGGAGACAGCTTTCGAACAATTTTCCGAATAGAAGGGTATGTATGGTTCTTTGTGTATGAACTTTATGTTGATATAAGCATTTGACATATTACCACATAACATGTTTTTCTCATTTTGAATGGCTCATTTTCCTAGTGTTATTAGAGGAAAATATTTAAAAGGGTGCCTTCCCACTTTTTTGTGTGTTTTTCCTGATAATACAATTGAAAACTAAATATGTATACATAAGAACTACCACAAAAATTATATTAATAATCAGTTTGCTGACTAGAAGACAATTTCTACTTTGTGCCATTGAGATTTTCTAAAGTTCTCATAACAGCAGCTATCTAAATATAATAGTTCTTTATTTTGATTCTTGAATATAGTGTCCAAATGTGTTCCTTATTTGCATTGTGGCTTATGAATATTCAAAGCAGAACTATGTCAAAAATTGATGTGTCAGATTTGTTACCCTATCTACTAGCTGATCAGATAAAAATATTTTTTTACATAAGCTAAAATGGTCTTTGATGTATAGATTCGGTTAAAGGCTCCAGCATAATTTTCCAAAGGATATTAGATTTGCTTTTTGAAGTTGTTTTCATAAGAGAATTGGTTGAAAATAATAAGTATGCACAAAATGATAACAGTAATAGTAATAGCTGGTATATGCTTAGTCTCTACTATGTGCTAGAAATTCTCCTTATAACTCTGTGAGGTAGGTTCTATTAGAATCCACTTCACTTGGACAAATGAAGAAACCAAGACTCAGAGGAATTAGTCATTTTCACGTATCTGATAAATAATGGAACTGGGATTCAAATCCAGGTCTGCTTGACCTCAAAGCCCATGCTCCTAACCTTTGTAGTTCACTACCTCTCTTGGCAGATTATACTATGGTCAGTTGTTTCTTTCAGTTAAACATATGTCATGGATGTCTTTCCATGACAGTATATATATTTTTAACAATACCATAGTAATTTTTGTATCTACATGCTGCAATTTATTAAGTTAAACCCTTTGGCAGACCACTAGGTTGTTTGCAGATTTTCGCTAATAAAAACAATGGTGCAATAAATATCCTTATACTACTTTTTCACATTTGTGTGCACATAAATTTTTTTCTATAAAATAAGTTGCTAGCTATGGACATGCAGGATCAAATGATATGCACATTTTATAAATGTTACCCACTTATCTTCCAAAAAGTATCAGTCTTTGAGAATTCTCATTTCTCCACACCCTCTCAAGCACTGGACAATACCAATCATTATTTGGTATATCTGCCCCCCACATGTATCTCCTGTTAATAATCCAACAGGTGAAAAATAAAATTGTCTACAAGCATTATTTTTATTGTAACTGGGATTGAACATACTTTTATAACCATTAGTTGTCATTTCTTTCAAGAATTTCTTGTGTTCTTTGCCCATTTTTCTTGGGTTAGACTTTTTACTGATTTGTAGGAGCTCAGTATATATTATAGGTACTAATTCTTTAACTATGACATAGATTACAAATCTTTTTCCCAGTTTGTCATTTTTCTTAGAGCTACAGTGCCTTACACCTTTCAGAACCTTGACATTTTTGAAGATTGTGGTTTTGTGATCATATCTATCTTTTCCTTTGTGATATCTGACCTTGTCACATTAGAAAGAAGGATGTCTTCTAACCCCAAGATTATAAACATTTTCTTCTGGTATGTTTTACATTTATATAATTAATCCATCTGAGGATTTTTTTTAATGCACTGTGTGGCATATAGGAACTAAATTTTATTTTCAAATGGTTAGTGAGTTGTCCAAACACCACTTGTTGAAAAATCTCGCTGTTACTCCCTTATTGGAAACGCCAGCTTTTTTGTATATTAAACTTCCACAAATACGTCATCTAAATTTTCTAGTCTGAGTCTCCATATCCTATTCTGTTTCATTAGTTTATCTATCTCTATGCCGGTATCATAGTGTTTTAATTCATTTACTTTTGGAGTATTTGGGTAACATATAAAAATATGCCCTGCAGTAGAAAGCCTAAACCTATTTTTTTTCTTTCTTTTTTTTTTTTAAAGACTTCATTTATTTGAGAGAGAGAGAGCACGAGCATGGGGAGGGGCAGAGGGAGAGGGAGAAGCAGGCTGCCCGCTGAGCAGGGAGCCCGATGCGGGGCTCGATCCCAGGACCCTGGGATCATGACCCGAGCCAAAGGCAGACGCTTAACGACTGAGCCACCCAG